AATTTTTCTACCAAAGTAGATGATAATAAGAACCATCCCTCTTTCAGGCAGTGTTCAGCCCAGTGAGATGAAAGACAGCTTCATCCTGTGCTTGCTCGGCTAGCTCCAACCTGATGAGCACCTGCCCATTTTTCCCAGGGAAGGTGATTGCTCTTCCTATTATATGCCTTTCATCCTGTTCCTCCCTCTGCTTTGGGAAGATGCCTCCTGGGGAACTGAGTTGTGGGGTCTGCAGTCAGATGGGGATGAGCATGGAAATGGGGACAGTGATGGAGCATCTCACGCAGGACCACAATGGTGGTGACTGCAGGCAACCAGAGCCACTGTCCCAGCACCATGCAGGCTCGCAGCAGCTCTCACTGCCCTCATCCCACTGCCCTCAGCTCTCCCCAGTGGCAGGCAGCCTGGAGGGACTGTGGCTGTGACCGGGCAGGGAGCAGCAGCTCCCTGGGTGCATCTATCTCCACTGCTCTTTCCACTGAAAAGGAGGGAGGGTTACAATGGAGTCGTACTTTTCCCATGAACCACCTCCCACTGTGCTCTGCTCTGAAGTTAATTGCAAATGAGGGGATGGAAATAGCTTATTTTGACTTTCCTTAAACAGTGCTTCATTGATTTTTTTTTTTTTTTTTTTCCCCCTTATTTTTTTTCCTGTCTCGAGAGGCAGGCCTGTATCTATTGGAAAATAGCAATTATTTCTGTAATTCCCTAGAATTAGTGGAATTAGTTGAATGGGTAAAATTCCAAGCAAAACGCTGATTAGAACTATACTTGAGTTGGAAGCACCATGCATGTCGTGGTGCTCCATCCCAGGGCATGACCAAGCTCAATACAGGTTTCTTGGAAAATAGTCAAGAATGTCTTAGTTATGGGCACATAAGTGGTCAGAAGGATGGGACATCTGTCCTGTGAGCGAGCTGGGGGTGTTCAGACTGGAGGGATCCATCCTGCATTGTTCAGGGCATGATCCAGGTTGTGCCAAAGATTTGGGGCTTCATAAAAAACCAATAAAAATGATCCTGTGGTATTTTTAATAACCTGCTGGTTTAACTCAATTATGAGAGCATAATTAACTGGCTGAGATGAAATAGGAGATAAACCTTTGATTTTCTTCTTCTCTTCCAGCCTGCTGCAGATTGATTTTGAACTTTGTATTCAATTACTTAAAAGAGCAGAAAAATTAACAGGTTTCTGATGAGAAAAGCATAGCACCTCCTTCATAAAGGGAGATTTATTGAGGATAGCAAGCGAGTGTACCTCAGGGCTCAATCATCTACTGTTTTTTTTCAAGGGGTGATTCAATTACTTTAAGATGTGTTGCCTAAAAGAACAAACCGGGCTCTGTTACTTGGCAAATTAATCAAGTTCCTTTAGTGGTTTCTCTGGGTTAATAATTTCATTTAGGCGGCCTTCTGTTCCGTGGTTTCATCCCTACCAAGGAAACTCTCAAACGAGAAGGAGGGGAGGGAAAGAAAGTGCTATTCATTTTCAGTGCGAGGCAGCGAGCGCGACTGCGACGGGAGAAGTTTTTCCGCCGTCAGCTCGCTTGGAAATGCCTGTGAAAGCAGCAACTGGTTGGAAAATATTGAAAGAGGGGGAGAAAAAAAAGGTGTTAAGGCTAATATTTTCACAGTGCAAAAAGGCCGCTTGGATTTGTTGTCATCTGTGAAGGGCTGTGGATTTGGTTCGCAATTGCCGTGAATGACGTTCCCTGGCTAGAGCGAGCCCATCCTGAAAATATCACTGATTTTTCACACGTTTGTCTCTTGAATATTCATAGCTCTGCTCTTCCATACAGATGGAGAAAGTGCAACAAGAAGAAAGGAGTTTGCAACGCTGGGCTGTCCATGCCCCTGTAATTACAGTGTTTTCCCAAAGGGGGAAGGCTGCTGTGGGACAGATCCTGCCTCTGCCTGCAGGATGGGTGCCGTGTGGGCACAGTATCTTTGAACCAGCAACCTCCAAAACCACCGTGAGCTGGTGTTTTGGAATTATCCCCCAACATCATTTCTTGGTAGCAAAGTTTCCTTGGTGGAAAGATAACAGCTCCCATTGCCTTTGCCTAGAAGGCAGAGGAGGGGGATGCTCAACAAATGTAGGTCCCCATCATAGCCAGACTATCCTGAACCCCATGAAGGAGACTGGGAAAAGCTTTAGGGCTGTTTTCATACATCATAAAACATCTCTGAAAAGGGTGTGCTCAGTCCAGTTTTATTGTCCCACTGGTTGGTTATAACCACAAAACCCCCTCGAACCACGGCCTGGACTGCATGCAATGTGTGTGTTCAAGTGCCAAATTCTGCAGCTGGCAACATTTGGGTTGAGGGGAGAGATGCTCAATGTGGCCTTTCTGCATCAAACCATGACTCCTGCAGGCTGTGCTGAGGGCTTAAATATCAGCCTGTGCAGGCAGAGCACCCTGCAGAAGGCCCTGTGGGTGCAAGTATCCCATTAACCCTAACAAGGTGCGTCGTTAGGGGCTAGGTGGGAAGTGCCTTCTTCCCACCCGCCCGTAGCAGGGACATGGATGCTCGTGTCATGGCTTATTGCTTTTCATTGGGGCAGGGCTGAGGCAGTGATCAAGTTAAAAGGAAGGGCTGTAGCTGTTCCCAGAACAAGAGGTCATCTGTTTTCTTTCAGGGGATTTGGCTCCGATTTCAGTGTTTTGAAGAACAGTGAGGCTCTTTTATCTGCTGTGGCAGGGCTTTCGGGGAGGGGGGCATGGCAGGCTTGTCTCTCCCTTGTGTGATAACTCATTTTAGACCCTCACATAAAACCTGAGATCTGCTTTATGGCTTGGGAAAGTGCCCTGATGAGGCAGAGCAGAGGCTGGGGATGCCATGGACCCCAATCCCCAGCACCAAGGGGTGTGCAAGCGCCAGTCACACTCCATGCCAAGCATCCCAGTGCTTGCACAATGCTGTGGGACGGCCAAATTGCCCTTTTCTCCCTTTACTTTCCCTGCAGCACCTGTCATGGCTCTTTCCAAGGCCACAACACCCAGTGTGAGCCTCAACCTCTGCCTCCCAAGTACATTTTTGGATAAAAACGGGAATGCCGGCATGCTGAGGTAGGGTGGATATTTTTAAAGCCGCTGGCAGCCTCCACAAAGCAATTATGCTCCAGGTTCCCAAATAGGCCTGAGCTTGCGCACTGGCTGAAAACTGTGCATGGTCAGTTTGTCCGGGGCTGGGAAGCTTCACAGGCAACCCTAAATGTTGGGACTGGGAGCTTGAGTGAGGCCAGAAGGGCCCACATGAAAGCGAATGGCTCCCAGATGTTGCGCAAAGCCCACCTTTGGGGAGAAAAAGAAATCTCTGATCTTATCTTGGGAGCTCCAGGAATAACTTTCCCTTCTTCCCATCCTCCATGCTGGCAGCAGGGTCTTGGTGCTGCTTGTGGAGCATCTTTGGATGGGAAATGTCCATTATGCGTCTTTGCTGGGGATGCTCTGAGGTGCCTGGACACAGGCTTCTGGGTGCCTGGTTTTAGGACAGTGATTCTTTCTCGCTGTCCCTGGGATAGAGGTCCAGGAGAGCTGCCACACCAGGGGAGCAGGTTTTTCCAAGGTAGTTTTGTCAGCCCTTTTCGGCAGGTCTCCTGAAGCATCGCTGCAAGCTGGGACCTGTGATGCCCAACTGACAGCCTGGATCCTGGCAGTGCTCAGGGCTGGGTTTTCATCCTGCATAGGAGGATATTTTGGGAACAAGGTTTTTGCAGGAGGCTGGGGGTAGGCAGGGACATGGCAAATCCCACAGCATTCATCCTTTGGTCCCACTTTTCTCCCTCCGGTTTGCTACAAGGGTTGCTTGAGCAATGGTGATCTTGCTTTATTTATCAGTGTCCTCATCCAAGCAGAGGATTACTGAATTAGAAATGGCACCGCTCTGCGGCTCAGCTCCATCTATTCCTCTCTTTATTCCCTTTCTGCAGCGCTGCCTGCTCCTGGCCCCAGGTTTCTCCAGATGCCCGTCATCACTCTCTTCCTGACGGGCTGTTGCAGGCAGGAACAAAACGTGGCACAGCTCTAAGAGCTCTTCTCCACTAAGGCTTTTAAGCCATACAGAAGGGCTGGGTGTCCCTGCTCGGCTCCGCTCTGCCTGCCAGCTCTGGCTCCTGCAGTCTGCAGGAGGATTTATGGCTGGGAAAATGCAGTGCTCCAACTTCTAGAAGTAGGGCATTTGCTTGGCAGCTCGAGAAATAATGGGAGATCCGTTTAATTATTCCACAGAAATGCTCGGGTTGTGCAGATGCCTAACTTAGGTTCTATATAACTTAGGTAACTCATGACTATAAACACGTCTGGGAGTGAGCGTGATGTTTGAGCTGTGGATCTAAGCCTGAGGTTTTCCTCCCTGATTTAAACTGGAGCTTTCAAGTGTCCAACAAGAGCAGGATGTGCCCAGGCTGAAGAAGACTTTTTGTCCCGTTCCCAGCTGATGATCTCTCTCATTCCACAAGCTGCTGGGGGCAATCAAGTCCCATACTGGAGTATGATGCCAGCCATCAGTTGTGCTTAACAGAACAGGATAGAAAAGATAACTACCCTATTTCTGGCAATATCAGTGCTCTTGGGTTAAACTGAGCCTCCTCCTCTCATATACAAAATTGCCCTTTCCTCCCTGGTGTTTGGGACCAGCCAGGTCGCCCTGCTCAGGGTGGTTTTGCATCCTGGCTGAGCCCAGATGCTTCTCCTCTGGCAGATGCTCAGGATCTGCTTTGCAAGGTGAACATCTCCTTGGCACGGCAAGTTCAGGAACTTGTTAAGCACTAAATAGTTGAATAGTGCCTTGTTTTTCTCTATTTCCACCTCTCTCTGGGCTCTCTCCTTCCCCAGCCTGGCTTGTTCCTCCCTTCCCTGGTGTGTGCTGCTCTTCACACCTTGAAATGCCTCCTAACACTCCCGTAATGGTTTATCAGCCCAGACTATCAATGCTGGGATGTTACTTGCTGTCTGGGCACTGAGAAACACCAGGCAAAACCCAGCCCCTCTGTTGCAGGGGGGCAGCATCCCTCCGGCACCGGCTGATCCCGATCCCATTGACCTAGGCTGAGATTCATCTTTAACTTTGACTTCAAGATCCCATGGAGCAACGAGGTAAATGTGCGAATGGCACACATCACTGCTGAGTAATTAGACCGAGGGCGCACACACACACACACACACACACACACACACACACACAGAGGCACAGCAGTACTGATTTCTGCATTAGCATGATAATGAATGTTCTCACTAGAAGCTTGTAATTATGTTTCCTCTTCTTTTCCCCTCCCCCTGAAAGTATAATTAATTATGAATAGAGCCAGAGTTTGATGCTAAAGTGTTTTTTTTCCTGTTTTTTAAATCCCTTTTGGTTCTATTTCTGCCCTATTAAAAATTTATGACGGAGCCAGAGGTAAAGTCATTTTCCCAGACAGTTGCTCCTATAAATTCAATGGGGATAATATTAAAAATAGTAACATCACAAGACGGCAGGAGGGGACTTTGCAAAGTGGTTTTCTCCTCTCTTCTTTAGGCTCTTGCCCAAGTAAGATGCTGCATTTGTCATGGTCCATCCACACTGTTGCAGCTCGAGGGGAGCACTGCAGTGGATGTGGACGTGCCTGTGGGTACCATGAGGTGACAAGCAGCATGAAAAGGTGCCACCACTGCAGGTCCCCTTCCCAGGGCTGCTCAGCCACACAAGTTAGAGGTCAGAACACAGTGGTGATGTGCTATAGGAAGAAAACACTTTATTTGTTTAAAATAGGAAAAAAACCCACTCTCACAAGCACTTTCAATGTCTTAGGAAAGTTATTTATGCATATGAGATACAAAATCAGAAACTTCTAAGGAAATGCTTTTCTTTTTCAGTCAGCCACAGAGAAGGAGATAAAGGATGTGCTTCTTGTTGATAAAGTGCTGGTGTCTGTGCATCTGCAGCATGTCAGGATGTTCCTGGGATGCCCATCCCCATGTCCTGCATTGATGCAGGACAAACCTCAGTGTCTGGTCCTGATGGCTGTGATGGTGGGACTGCTTGCAGTGGCAGAAAATGCTTCCTCCCCACCTCCAGCGTGCTCCATCCTTTCCCTAGAAAACCTGTGTTTAATCTCACCATCCATTGGGAAAATAGTTGAAACGGGTTTGGTGTAAAGATGTAACACGTGGGGATGGGGACCGGAGTTGAACTGCTCATAGGATCACCACTCAGGAGAGCCCCTTCCAGTGCCGCAGGCTTTGCCCCCTGCCGACGGAGCCCGTTTTGTTTCACCCCCCTCCTCTGCTGGTTGCCATTCATACCACCAGCCTTCCCCTGCCGTAGGTGTGAACTGTTTTTCTTCTTAAATTGCATTTATTCTAACAAATGTCTCATGCAAACACAATTGCAGGTTTGCTGGAGGGAGATGCTGTTTGAAGGCAGCCTTGCACAAAGGCAGATTTATTCTCCTTCCATTCATTTGAAGCTAAAGTAATAGCTCTAACTACATCTGACTTATTATAAGCGCGTTACTGGGAACAAACCTGTATTCTGCATGTATTCCCCTCTTTGTCAGCTCCACCTAGGCACTTTTTCTCCCTCTCTTCTATTTTTTTACAATAACAAAATCAGAGCCTTGTCAGTTGAAAGTTTATATGCCCTATTTATAGCGCTCTGCTGTCTCCTGGCTTTTATGTTCCAGCATAAGTAGCTCTTTACCCTCTGCTCACAAGGAGCCTAGCGTGAGCCTGAACAGAGCCTGCATCTCCGTAATAGCTCTTTTATCCTTCCCTGTGGAGGGCATCATGCCCTGCTTTCCACGGACTCACTGCTTTAGAAGTGAGCAACCACCCCTGTGGGCCAGAGGACTCTGCCTTGGGTGTTTTAGTACCTCTTTTGGTCAGCACATCCTCAAACTTGGGGTGTTGCTTTAGGGAATGGGGGTGTTTTGCTGGCCACCAGCATGGTTTGTTGCTTGCAGCTATTGAGCATCTTGCTGGGAACCACTGGTTCATCTTCTGGGGTGTGATGGCTGGGAAAGCATCACCACAGTTTGATGCACAAATATGCTATCCGCTTGGTGACTCTCGTTAATAAGAAGAATATGAGTGTTCCTCCAGGGAGCTTCAGTGGTTACTTCAGTGAGTTTTGCAGTTAAGCTGGTACTTCAATGCAGTTTGTGAATTTAAGAGGTTTTTGTAGTCAGACAAGCCTGGATTCAGCATCGCCTCCTATATGGGCTGTGGCTGGCTCCTGAACTTCTCTGTTCCTTGTCTCCAGATGTTATTTGGGACGAGGACTCAGGACAGGCTTTGGCAGTGATACTGCAGCAGCTCCCAGCACGGCGGTGGCTGAGATGCAAAACAGAGACTGGTTTGCAAACAAGTCAGAGTCACCACGACCCACAGCAGCCTTGCAGCAGTCCCCCCAGAGCGTGCCAGCTCTCCTGGTGCTTCTCCAGCTCCGTTGCGTTGATCCCAGCTGGCGGGCTGAGGGAGCAGAGCTGGTGGAGCTGGATGCTGATGCTCCCATCCCACTCGGTGCTCCCGCGCCGGCACGCACATACGCTCTTTTCCCCTCTCTCAGCAGAAGGCACAGTGTCTCCTCTGTTACTGTGTCCTTCGTGGCACGTCATCAGGGTTTGGGCAGGACTCTCCCATCTGTTCTGGGTGGAAAGATTAGGATAAAAGAGGCTATTGTGCTCTTCTCCTTCCAACTAACTTCAATCCAGTGAAGGGAAAACTCTACATGCTAAACCCCCTGGATCCTGCTCAGATGAGATGTTTACAGGACCAATGACCATTACAGAATAAAAGTGCAACATAGGAAATAAAGTGACACAACCGGCTTTTGCCCATTCCAGTGCTGGAAAACTGGGGTTGGGGAGCCTGGCCCCTCCACAGCGTTTTGCTTGCTGAGGAACGGGCCCGTTTGTTAAATATAGCTGATGAGCTGTTCTTGAATTGCACCTAATTACATCTCCTCTCCAGCACGCTGGCGCTTCCCGGCTCTTTGGAGCTACAAGGAGCTGGATGATTGCGGCTTGAGCTCCTCAGGTGAGCGAGATGCTCATTTGTTATCCCCCTGTTTGGTTGCCTCTGACGGGGGAGGAGGGAGATGAAAAGTTGAATTCTCTGAGAAAGGAGGGGAAAAAGAAGAAGAAAAAAGTCCTGTTTGATTCTGTTTGAACTGAATGAGCTAAGGCTCATTCAGATGTCAAAGGGTTGGTGCCCCGGCAACTGCTGCTCCTCTCTAAGCAGGGCTTGGAATTACTGCAGTCATCATGCAGGGATTTATCTGCAGGCGCTTGCCCAGCTCTGTGTCCACGGGAAGGTGCCCGTAGCCAGTGCCTGACAGTGGCAGGATCCCTCCTGTTTAACCAAGTCCAGCTCTCCCAGCCAGGATCAGCCACCCCTTGGTGACATGGGTACCAGCTCCCCATCCTGTGTCACCTCATCCACAGCCCCATCTGCTTCTGTGCTTTTCCAGCCACACCAAAAACACCAGTTCAGGGCCCTGTAGGTCATTCCCATGGACTTCACCCAGAAAGAGTCATTGCCTGAAAGATACCTGGAGTGTTTTAGGGACTGACTCCCAAGCATCAGTTTGGTTTTGCTGAGTTTTGGTTTTTATCCCCCAAGATTTTGGCAGATATCAGCCACTTCCCATCTCCACCATCCCTCTCCAGGGCTTGCAAAATCTCTGCCCCATATTTCTGGTTCCTTCTTGAAGCCTGCTGTCTACTGGTAAAGGATGCTTCTCCACCTCAAAACAGGGCTCTCGCTGGAGTTTAAGTGGATGCAGAAGATGGAAATAAGGTTTTTCCAGTCTCAAAAAAATACCAAATGTCTTGAAATATTTCCACAAACAGAATTTCCCAGCTCATGCAGACAGCAGCACATCCAGAGCGGGGAAGCCTTTGCTTTGCAAGGACAGCACTGGAAGGGCGAGAAAGGGCTCTAGATCTGCTCTGACTTCAGCTCATATTTTGGGGGTGAAACCCAAACCCTTCTACCCCCATGGGATGTGAGGCTGGAAGAGCATCCTTCGGCACCCCGTGCCGGTGGGTTATCCCATCCCATTGGAGCTATTGCTCCAGGGCCACATCAGGTCCCCAAAGGCCACAATGGGAAAAAAGGGAAAAGGCACAGGGTGATGCCGTGGGCTGATGCAATGATGTTGGTGAAAGGGTCCCTGAGCCCCCCCAGGGAAGGGGCCAACCCACACTGATGTGTGCCATTGGCATCACCACCAGACCATGGCAGGCTGGATGAGGCTGGGTCCCCTTCCTGCTGTTGTTTGGGAAAGCTCCCACGTCGCTGCCTGAGCTCAGCAAAGAAAGAGACAGAGCTGTCATTACAAATACACTTCAGATCTCTTCCATGGAGGAGGAGCTGTGCCAACAAGACCAAAAATATGCAAAAGATCAACTCTCTGGTTAGAAGTGGCCTGGCTACCAGTTTCAGTCTCAGGCGTTTGGCTTTGCTGTGGGAAGCCCTCATCATTTTCTGCTGTTTTACTCATAGCCAAAAATATGATGAAACCAGAACTGAATGTGGTTATTTTTTCTGTCTTATTACAGTAAGCAGCATAAATTATTCACCCATGAGACTCAACTGTATTTCTTACTCAAAAGGAGCTTCCTTTTGTCTTCAGAGGATCAGACCTCAGGGCTTTCCTGTCCACCACAGGCCAAACACATGAGGATACCAGTGCTGGGTTTTACCCTACATCCCCACAGTCCCCTGGCCCCAAGTGTCCCCATGTTAGGAGCAAACCCCATTAGGTGGTGTGGATGTGGGGCAGAAACAGGGCAGAGGCAGGTTTTGGGGCAGTTCCTGGTAGGCAGTGGGACCCCCATCACAGCATCCATGCTGAGCCCTAGCACCGGATCCTTCTAGAAATGGATGTCCTAGGACAATGTCAGTCTAATCAGCTCCCTCTTCGTTAGCAGGGACCTATAATTAGAAGCAGCAGCCAGCCATCTGCTTTTATCTGGTCACATCACAGGGTGCCTCTCTGCTGCCCTTTATTACTGGCCATCATTTCAGATCAACGTTTCCCTCCACCTCCAAACGCGTCTTATCTCACTTTCATTATTGCTAATGACCAGCACTGGCAATGCTCCATGGCACAGGAGTGAGAGCAGCAGCGCTGGGAGTGCAGCAGAAAGCGAGCTCATGTTTGCTGCCTGACTGCCCTTTATTCCCTCACATGGGGTACTTTTGGGGTTCACAGCCTTGCCACTGGACCTCCCCAAAGTACCCTCTGCCTCGCACCAGGCATGGGGCTGACAATATGAGAACACACCAATTGGCCAGGAGGTGGGTAGCAAGACCTTGGAGGAAAGGAAGGAGAAAACCTTTAGTGCATCTTTACATTTGGTGCCTAGACAAAAGCATAAGAAGTATAAATGGATTAACAGCCATGGTTTATTAGTGCTCCTTAATTCACTTCACAGGGCTGGGGGAAAAGTTATTAGCAGATGTATGGCCAGTAATAAGCTAATTATAACCCTGTCAGATCAGAGATTTGAAGAGGTGGGTAGTTTTGTGTGCGAGATAACTATAATTGTCTGTTAAAGATTATGAATTAATATTGATTTAATAAAGCTGTGGCCATTTATTTCGGCGGTAAAGACTAGTTAGCTATTCTGTGAGCTGCCCCAGCACTATGGGAGGCAGCGACTTATCTGCTGGCAGTGTGTATCCGGGAGGCCAAAATGCACATGGGACCAGTGCTGAGCCTGTGTCCTGCCTGTCAGCATCCCCATCACTGGCTTTGCTGGGGATGTCTTTAGCACCTTGCTCCAAATTCATGCCCCACCCTGATGGCTTAGCCCCAGGGTCACAATGCACCTTATGTGTGGGAGAGCATCCCCCTGCACACCTCCTGTCCCTGGGGACAGCACTGGAGGGGGCCAGGGTGACGTGCCGTGCGAAGGCACAGTGAGCTGGGATGTGTGAGGAGCCGTGGGGCCACAGTGCTTTTGTTGTGGGTAGGAAGCAGAGAGCACGCCAGCTTCTACTGAAGAGCATTAGTCACCGCTCCGCTCTTCCACTCATTTTAACCATTTCTATGTCTGGTGCCATAAAAAGGCATCTTTATTTGGCACCAGAGGAAAGCACAAAGCTGCCTTTTCTGTCTCAGGGGAGTAACTGCCACCACCACACGCTGTTACATGTGTAGGATGCAGTGCTGGATGAGGGTACCTGACTGCAGCCTGCTGTCCTCCGTGCAGTGCAGGATGTGCTCCTATGCCCAGTGCCTTCATTGCCAGGATGCTGGAAGGGGACATGGTGTAAGTGCTTCTTCTTCAAGGCTCTTCCCCAGTGAGACCCATTGGGTGGCTTTGAGCATTTTATTTTTAAGTGATTACTTCTCCAAACAGATTTGGATGGAATGCATCCATTATTACTTTGTGCCATTTATTGAAATAATGTGGTAGCCATCTCTAGCCAGTATCACTGGCATTAATAGTAGCTGGCAGTGCCAAGGAGCCACAGATCCTTCGGGAAGAGGCACCACTGCCAGGAGCAGCATGCCATGGACAGGAGGCTGCTGCTTGCCCCTGCCTGTTCTCCCTGCCAGGACAGCAGGCATGAGGGGAGGCAGCATGTGTGTCTATTCAGCCCCATCAGTTTGCAAACAGCCCCTCTGCCCATCCCCATCACAGGGCAGAAAATAACATTTGCACTCACACCATGAATGCATTTGCTGCTTTTAGCTCAATTTAAAATCACTGTGTATTTACCTACATTTAAAAGCTGATCCCTTTAGGAATGACATGACCCTTTTGGGGTCCTGTCTGCTCCCCAACATGTTAAAACCCGCAGGCAGCCCCAGCACAACTTGTAAGGAGCTGATGTGAGTGCAGGTCTGCTGGTGATGGGTGGTTTGGGGTGGCCAGATGGAACATTACCCACTGCTGGGCCCTGGCATGGGGCTTGCAAACCCAACCCAAACCCACTGCGGAGCAGAGGGAACAGGCAGATGCTCAGGACCCCTTGGAGCAGTGATCTGGGAGAGGGAGCCAAGGAAAATGAGAGGCCAAACATTGTGGCCACAGTCAGATCCGGCTGGGAAAGCACAACCCCTTTGCAACTGCAGCATGCTGGGATGCTGAGGGGGGTCCCTTCCTCACAGCAGGGTGCACAGTGTGGAATCACCCTCATGCCTCAGGGATGAAGGCAGCCCTGATGCTGCTTACATCATTTCCCAGTTTACAGTCACCATCCAGGATCACTTCAGTTTTTCCCCTCTCAGCACGTAGCTGAGTGCCACCTACTTTGGGATATTCACATTGCATCATTTGTTTCCATAAACCATTGCCAGTATGAAGGCAAGCACGGAAAAAGGCAGGAGCAGCCATCTCCTGCAGACAGTGTGCCTGCCTGTGCAAGCCACCCTAGCCACCAGCCAGCTCCCCTGGCTTTTCCTTTCCTCCTCCTCCAGGCACAGATCTTTAGCTTGGTTTGGTTTTATCCTCTGGGACAGATCTGCTTCCCCTAGGTGAACTCCAGCCCTTCAACCACCCAAGTCCCACCAAATTCCTCTCATGCCTGGATCAAGTAAAGGCAGGTCACTGGGGTGGTGGGAAGGTGCTTTGGAGGGAGCCACACTGCATCATGCAGGGCAGGGATGCAACCCCCATACTGCTCCCTCCCCTCACCGTACATCCCTCCATGGTGCTGGGGGTCTTAGCACCCCTTGTCCCCATGCTAGTAAGCATGGGTCACACAAGGTTGTGGAGGTCACTACGGTTTTCATGCCCACTGGTCCTAGTGGGCTGATGCTCCGATAAAGTCCATTACAGGATGACTTAGTTTAAAGGCTGCTTGCTTTAAGTATAATTACTTTCCCCTGAAGCTTTCCATGGGAGGGTGGTTTCAAAGTGAGCTCCTGTTTTGCATCTCGCTTCTTTTCCTGGAGGAGTTTAGGTGAACCCAAGCGAGAAAACACCCCCATTTCCTGCATTTGTGCTGGGCACGGGGCAAGTTTAATGTGAAACATCTCCAGAATGTGGGGCAGGACTCCAGTGTTCTGCTTCAGATAAATCCCTGTCTTTGCTGCTGGATGCTTCAGAGGTGCGTCACATTACCATGTTATCTGATG